CTGGAGTGACATGAGTAGAGGAGCAGAGAGAAAACAAGGGGAGAAAGAAGTAGAACAGAAAAACAAAGACATATTAGTATATTTACTGGGTTCTAACATTCTAAAATGGCTAAGAGACGGGAGTGACATGAGTAGAGGAGCAGAGAGAAAACAAGGGGAGAAAGAAGTAGAACAGAAAAACCAAGGAAAACAAGACACACCTCTTCTACTCCACCCACTTATCTGTTATGATAACACTTATGCATTTAGGTAAAACTATTTGTGTATATAGCATAAATTTTAAAAACGTAAAATTAGAACTAGTTTTTAAGTAATCTTTTTATTTTAGAATAGTTTTACAGAAAATTTGCAAAGATGCTACAGAGTTCCCATACACCCCCACACCCAGTCTCTCCTATAATTAACAACTTACATTGGTAAGAAACATTTTTCACAATTAATGAAACAATATTGATATTTGATTAACTAAAATCTATTCTTTATTCAGATTTCCTTAGTTTTTACCTAATGTCCTTTTCTGTTTCAGGATCAAGTCCAGGATGCCACATTACATTTATGTGTTGTCATGTCTCCGTAGGCTTCCCTTGGCTCTGACAGTTTCTTAGCCTTTCCCTGTTTTTGATGACCTCGACAGTTTTGAAGAGTATTCATCAGGTATTTTGTAGAATGTCCCTGTATTGGAATTTGTCCGTTTTTCTCAATATTAGGCTGGGGTTATGAGTTTTGGGTGGAAGACCATACAGGTAAAGTGCCATTCTCATCATATCATATGCAGGGTACACACTATCAATATAACTTATTGCTCCTGATATTAACTTTGATCACCTAGCTGAAGTGGTAACAATTAATTCTGTATAAGTACAAAACCAATCACAATAACCATGAGATAAGACAAGGCAAGCAAAGATACACCAGGCAAACAGGGATTTGATTTTATGGTTTCTAACTTTAAGGATATTACTTATCAGTAGGTAAGGTGAGAAACTTCTAAAACATTAACAAACTATTCCTAGATGTTTTAGAAACATTGAGATAGTCTAGGTAAAAGTTAATGTCTGTAAGACTGACAATTACCTTTGTTGGTCCTCCAGCAATCATATTGGTCAAGTTCACTGAATATTACCTACTTAAAGTAGAAACAACTTTTAAAAATTCATGGGATGGTTGATATTTGATGAAAGTAGTATCTGATGACAATCAAGGAATTAAATTCTTGTGTGAAAATTATTTATCTCTTCATGAGTTTAAAAAGTGTTATAACAATTTTAGGCCTTTGAGGCCAATTAAAGGAAATCTTGATAACTGATGTTTTCTATTCAAAATTTTTTGTAACAAAGTATCATAAAAAATTTAGTAACCATTTTCTAGTGTCAAATTAAAAGAAAACAAGCTGATGTTTGTTGTGAATATATTTTTCAGATAAAGAATGTAAAATATGGGCCGGCCCGGTGGCGCAGTGCTACAGTGCGCCGCTTGGGAGTGCGGTGGTCCTCCCGCCGAGGGTTCGGATCCCACATACAGACTGGTTCCCGCTCACTGGCTGAGCGAGGTGTGGGAGCAACACCGAGGGTTGCGATCCCGTTGCCGGTCCCAGTCCGGTACGGGCGCGACACTGAGGGTTGCGAAAAAAGACAAAAAGGAAAAAAAAAAATAACAAAGAATGTAAAATATAAGTTTAAAAGACTTAGTCCAAATTCCACAGGGTTATACAATGTGCTTGGATGAGCGGGATATGATCTGGTAGTAATGAAGGTTCCCATATGAAAGACAAAATGATAACAGGTATAATCTATCAGAGGCAGGCAAAATTGCTAGCACATTTTAAAGTTTTCCTGCATCAAGGGTTAAAATAAAAATGGTTTTCCAGTTCTCAGGAAAACAAAAAATACAATTAAGCTTACAACACCCTATTTTCAAAACAGATTGACAAACTGGGGTTTTAGTGCAAAAGTACATGGGGATGTTTCCAAAGTATGTTTACCAATCAGGACAGAAACCCTAAGATAGGGTGGACAAGCAAGTGGACATATTGGGGATAATGCTACCTTCCTCCATTCATAATGCACATACCGAGTTAAATTCCCTAAATACTAAAACAAATATACTTACTTAACTTTGACTAGGTCTCAAACATATTTCATCAGGGAACCTTTTTATTATGACCATTTATATACTAAGGAATTGAGGTCCTAAGGGACATACTTTGAGAAATGCTGCTAAATGGCAGATAAATGTCTCAATTCTAAAGATGCTGAGTCGAGCAACAACTGTGACTCATTTTCATGTATCTAAGGAAATTAATAAGTAATACTTCTCAAATATTCTTTTTATTTCTTCATAGAATAAATCTTAAGTGCAAAAATCCCACCTACTTTTTTTTTTTTTTAAATAAACCATGCTGATGCAGAAATGGGAAAATGCTACAAAGATAGAACCGAAAGCACACAGCATAACAATCATAAATGCTTTAAAGCATTTAAAGGAAGAGGATGAGGGGAATGTCAATGTAAAAACAACTATGAAAAGATGAAAAATTACCAGATTATCTCTGGTCTCTTAAAGGAGTCTGAAGGGGTCCTCTCCAAATAACTGAGTTGATTTAGATTCATTCTCTCCAGCCCCCTGATGAGATGGCATCTAATATATATGGGAGCTCAACTGGTTCTCCCAAGGAAAGGGGACCCTGCAGCAACTACTGCCTGTCTCTAGATACCACACCCAAGCAATCCCCTTCATTCCCTCTAAGCCTGCTTCATCGGAAATCACAGTTTTAATGGCACAGTTATATATAAGAAAGGAGGAGCAATGGAGTCCCTAGTCTACTAAAACAAGTGTGTTGGCAGGGAAGGAGGGTTGACATACATGTTCCAATATCTGAGTTGGCTGAAATTTGGAATGAGTTTTTCATGAGGAACAATATTATAACTGATAAAACAGATCTCCTAGTTCAGTTTCATCACTGATAGAGGGTTGACATACATGTTCCAATATCTGAGTTGGCTGAAATTTGGAATGAGTTATTCATGAGGAACAATATTATAACTGATAAAACAGATCTCCTAGTTCAGTTTCATCACTGATAATTTTGAGAACATCACTGTGAAAATATCCTACCAGTTATAACATTATCTTCCTAAAGAAATAAAAAAGTATTTTGTTTTGTAAATATTCCACACTAAATATAATAATACAGAGAATTAACTTATTGGTAAATTATGGACAGGCTGCAGTTAGTTTCCTAAAGCCTTAGGAGTTCTCTCCAAGATTTATTTATGGTCCATGTGACGTAGCATGGCTTTTTAATGCCCAGTATTTTCTCAACTTGATATACCCACTTTAATTCTTACAACAATTCCTAATTTAAACTATGTTAGTCAGCAAATGTCTTAAGTCTTGAATTGGAAATCTAGTATGGACTAGTTAGAATGAAAAAATAAATGCCTTAAACAGAAATGTATTTTACCTAAATCTTACTTCATTTTTCCCTAATTCAATATAAAAATATATATTTCAAAACACTTTGATATATCTGAGAAACTGTGCAATAGAAAAGGCCTGTTCCCAGGTTGAGTATGAAGGGTTCAGTTATAGTACAGCAAGGCAAGCCTGTGGGTGCAGGTGCATTTTCCTCTTCTATAAACTCACACTGACCTGAAAGGATAACATTAAGAAAAATACATGCCATGAAGAGTAAAATAAAGATATGGCACTGAACACCTTTTATAATATTGTAATAAAACATTCATTAATTCTTCTGTTGAAAATCTGAGAAAAGATTATAAACAATATTTCTGTGCATTGTTTCAACAGGATTCTTTAAGTCAGTGGTTAAACTTTCTGACAATATCATAAGAATTCATGCTAAAATAGCTATTCTAGTTATAAAACTAGATATAAATAGAGTTAAACCATAATTGTTTATAAAATCAGTTTTCTGTGATGTGAAAAAAGCTGATCAAAAATACTTTAAGGTAATATGAAAGTTCATAGATTCTCTTTCTGCCAGTGTCACCGTGTGCTACAGGAGCTTCTTAGTTGGCCAACTAGAATTTATATCACAGACTGATGCATGAGGTCTTCTATTAACATCAATACTTCTTTTTAAAAAAAATACTATAATGCTTTCACTGCTGTACCATGAAGTATTATTCAAATAAATTATAACTACACTTCATCAAAACAGAATTTAAGAAAGTACATTCTGCCAGACTGATTTTTGAGTCTTCTAAATTATATTTGTTCACTAGCCCACCAATTTGAAAAATCTAGTAATTTGTACAGGGCTTCCTAGTCATTAATACGAATTAGTAATGCTATAACTTATAATTTTTTAAAAATAGAACACATACCAGCAAAGCTCAGCATCAGCCAAAAGCTACTGGCACACCACAGGTAAAAGGCCAAATCTACAGTGATATGGTAAAGGTCAATTTATGGAAAATCCAAATAAAAATTGCTATCAAAATATTTTGTTCATTAGAATTAGTTTACAATGAAAATCTTAATTTAATAAGATGACTTTAGGCCTTTGTGCTAGACTCTCATAACCAGAAAGAATAGCAATTTTAGCATGAATTCTTATGATATTGTCAGAAAGTTCAACCATTTATTTAAAGAATCCTGTTGAAACAATGCACAGAAAAAGCTATAGGAGTAACAGATGTTAAGTCTACAATTAAAAAATACTTAAAAAAATTTTTTTCCTACAGTCAGGACACAAATACTAATAATTTTCTAATCTTCTATTGCCAGAAATTCCATGAGCATCCAGAAGTGGGGGAAAAAAAAAAGTGAGTTGAAGGTTAAACCTGCATCTAGCTGGTTGACATTAAAACCCTAGAAATGGCATTAAGAAGCATAAGATAGTACTACTAACTCCTGAAAAAAAATGAGAAACACCTGCAAACTTTTTTCTATTGAATCTTTAGTAAATTTGAAATTAGCATATACTATCTTTCTAGCGATATTGTTGACTAGTCAGAACTGCTACAAAACCAGTGCTGAGAGCTAATAAATATTTATGGTGCCACCTGGTGATTTCCTTCAAGTTCAGCCACAGCAATAATTTTGGATGCCATTAGTGCTGCCCCCACAGGTGCACGTTCTCCTTTGGGTATACGGGAAACGGTATGACAGGGGACCAGATTGTTTCAAATGTTCTGAAACATCACTGAGAAGAGCTGCCAGCTAACGGAAAAAAATGAAAATGGAGAATACTTTACTATGCTTTTCCACAGATATAATCACAATTTCATACCTGCAAAACCTAAAAGAAAAAGGAAACTCCTTTATTCTAGATAACCTGTAAATTCAGAATTCTAGATATAATTTTCTTTACAGGAGTAGATATACTATACATAAATATCCATCTCCTTATTGAATCCTTGCTGGGATTTTAGTGTAAAAGGAGAAAGAGAAACAGGATCCAGATGCTGAATGACAGCTTCAGCAACATCATATGAGATGGCTTTTGGGTTTGCCCCACAGTTTGAGTTTCTTTGTTATGAGCAGTTGTGCCAGGCCATTGAGGAACACCAGAAAGATGGTTATGGACATCACAATCACATAGTGGCTGATGCTGCAAAAGGAGAAGAAATAAGTTACAGGAAGAGAGAACACATATGAAGAAAAGTGTAAGATTCCTCTAAATAATGTTTTAAATAGAAATATAAAATACACAGAATTACAAAGAATACCAATGATTTCAAAATGGATACCAAAATGTTTAAAAAAACACAAACTTGCTATATAGCATTATATGAGTAATATATGTACTTCCTTAATAATGTATTAATTAAGAATTAATAATACATATTAACATATATTAATTTTTAATCCCTAATAACAAACTACCATCATGTTGAAATAATGATGAATATAAAAATGTGAGATATCTGCAACAACTATAGTATGTTATGAAAATGTTTGCGATTGCTATTAGGAGTACCTGTGCCTTTGTCACCAGCAGAAATTAAATTTTAAAAGCTTTTAGAAAAATAAAGACAATTTTCCCCCTCCAATTCTTGGGCCCTATGAATTCTCTCCACAGACTCTCCAAGATATTCCCAGATTAAGTATTCTGTCATTTTAGAGCATGCCATCTTATGCTTTGAAATAAGTTAAAAGTACTTTGATAAAACTACCAGCCACAAAGAAAGAAAAATGTCACCCAAACTAAAAGTCAGTGGAGTGAAAGGTTTAGTCAAGAAATCTAAACAAAGAGAAAAAGGACAAATCTCTTTATTAATCCCACAATCAAAGCTATTGTCTCCTAGACTTTTATAAAAAGATAGAATAATGAATACTATTAAAATTACTCAGTTCTAGTTCTCATCTATCAGCAATAGTAAATGTTCAGTTTTCCTTTTTCAACACAGTAATCATACTGTCTACACAGAATATAGCTTGATAAAAAATTCAGAAGTATGGAGCTGGCTGGTTATCTTAGTTGGTTAGAGCATGGTGTTATAACACCAAGGTCAAGGGTTCGGATCCCCTTACTGGCCAACTGCCTCCCACCCCCGCAAATTTAGAGGTATGGAAAGAAATGTAGGATACAGATCTGATGAATATACAGTAAAGCAGAGGCTTCACACAGTGATGCTAGTACAGTACTGTCCAAGCTTAGCTTAGTTACAGTGCATATTGGCAAGCTGTCTATTTTCAATGCCTAACAGAGTTATATTTAACTATCTAATTTTAAAATAGATTTGCATTTTTTACATCTTTATATTCCTTTATGTATTTTACATTCTTCTATTCTTTTTTTTGCAGTTTTACATTCTTCAACAAAGAGAGGGGGTCATGGTTTAGCAGGACTATACCCATGCTAGTGTGATGAAGGCAGGTCACATTTCCTCCCTCTTGCTCTCATCTACCCCCAACAAACAGAAGAGTCACAGAGCTGGCTAAAGAACCCCTATCAAGGAGTGGCTCACAGGGCAGGCCCCAGAGAACATCAGGAAAGGTAACTGCTGGGTACAAGTAAAGCAGGCCTATCACCTAAAAGGACATGGAGACTAAAATGGAAAGGGAGAAAAGGTCTCTCTCCCACTTTTCCAATAACTTTAACCCAATAGGTGAGCAGCCCCCAAAATGTAGAGTTGCTGGCTCTATGCCATCTATAGCATGTTGTCAGGAATTTGTCCACAGGCAAGGCCTCTAAGGCCAGGAAAGAAGAGCCTTCTACTCTGTGTGGATTTTTTTTTTTTAGAGTAAGAACCACCAATTGTTAAGTTTTATAGTCTGATAAGATTCTCTTTGGAAAGGCACTGGTTGGAAAATTTTTATTTAGAATCTTTGTCTAGGTTCACCTCATACAGTAAATTTGAAATAGAAAAGGAAGAGCTGTCTAATTAAAATCAAAACTTAGAACCAGTTCTGTTATAAATCTGGCTCCAATCAAGGGTAGAATCCTGACGTAAAAAGAAAACAATAAAACCCTAATAAAATCCTAAAAAGAAAACAATAAAAACCTAAGCCCTAATTTATAAATATCAACACTAAAGTAAGATTTAAAAAACACTCATTTGTTTTCATGGTAAAAGTAATGTAATAGGATATTTGACCTGGAATTTCTTCTGTTTAAATCTGTGTGTGTGTGTATTTTTTTGTTTTGCTTTTGCCCTGAATGAATATGATATGAATCTTATCTACAATTTAATTAAATCACTGATAATTATTTATTTAAAAATAAAAAAAATGATTATAAGACTAGATTTATTTATCATCCTTGCTGGGAATAAAATGATATAGATATTTATTTTAATAAAACACTCCTGGAAAACTAATGCCAAAATAGACAAGATTATGTTAAATGATTATAAGACTAGATTTATTTATCATCCTACCAATCCTTGCTGGGAATAAAATGATCTAGATATTTATTTTAATAAAACACTCCTGGAAAACTAATGCCAAAATAGACAAGATTATGTTATTAAAATTATGTGAGCCATGCTGACATTTTATCACACAGAAGTTAGTAATTGGTTGACTGATCTTACTTTAAAAGTTTTCCAAAGCAAAGCAACTCAAGTTTATCATGGCATAGAGACGCTGGGAAAATATGCTGTTAGAAAACTAGAAATTTAAAAAGAAATCAGAATAAATTCTTCTTCCAGGAGATAGTACAGGTGTATGTTCCCCTATTCCTCCTGCTAAGTACAACTAAAAATTTTGGACATTATATATAAACAAATACAAGAAGACTCCAAATGATGGAAAGAAGAAGGCAGACTTGTTAGGAATCTTGGGACGCAAGGAATGCCACAGTGAATTCCCTGGATTTTCTTTTTGTCTCATATATACCAGACTTGCAGGAAGAAGCTGGCAACCTGAAAATGTCACTGGGTGCATATCAAAAAAAAAACCCCAAAACAAAAACACTACCACAACAAAAGCCTGCTCTCTCTGTTCAGGGGACAGACAACGAAGGGGACAGCCCCAGAAGATAGAAGACTTTTTGATGTTAACTGCTCTGCTTCAGCCAAACACCACAGGAAATAACAGTGGCCCCAGCCCACCTGTTCCAATGAAGGCTGAGTGGGGAGCCTAGACTCCCATCCTCACCTGACTATAATGGGGCACTCCAACTCCCCCATCCATCCCCTCCTCTCCACCTCTGTGGTGTCAGAGAAGGCTGAGTAGGGAAGCTATTCTTATCCATGCTTGGCAGATGTCAGTGGACACTCACCTGAAAGCTTGGATTACCACCCCCATTCAGTGGTAATGAGGTCCCCTCCATCCCCTTCCTCACTGGGGTTGTGTCAGGAGAGGCCTAGGGAAGTCAGGAATTTCACCACCACCCAGAGGTACCAAGGCCATTCCCGTCCCCACCATGGTATTAGTGTAGGTCATGTGGGGGAATGAGATAAAAAAGGACCTCCCATCCTTCCCAGCCAGAGAGGTATCTATCAGTGGAGGCTTAGTATGGAGCTATAACACCCTCCCCTGCCAGGTAATAATGAAGAGCCCTCCTTCAAGTATCAACGGAGGCCATAAGGGGAACTTGAATTTCTACTCCCATCAGGCAGAAATGAGGTAGTGTTTCCTTTTCCCATGCCATAGTAGTGCCAGAGGAAGCTAGTTAAAACATAAGGTTTAAATAAGATTAAGAGTCTCATAACATACCCAATATGTCAAGATTTCAATCAAAAATCATCCAAACCAAGAACTAGGAAGATCTCAAACAGAATGATAAAAAATATAATCAATAGATACTAACTCCTAGATAACACAGCGGTTAGAATTATGTGGCAAAAATTTCAAAGTGGCCATCATCAATACTTCAACAAGCAATTATGAACACACTTGAAACAAATTTTAAAAAGAAAATCTGAGCAAAGAAATAGAAATTTTCAGCAATTCAATAAAAGACATAAAGAAGAACCAAATAAAAAAATCTTAGAACTGAAAAACACGATAACCAAAATAAAAAACCCAATGGATGGGTTCAATAGCAGAACTAAGAGGTGACAGAAAAGAATCCATGAACTTAAAAGATAAAGCAACTGAAACTACCCAGCCTGAACAACAGAGAAAATAAACTTAAAAAAAAAAAAAAAAAAAAAAAAGAACAAAGCCTCAGGAAACTGTGGACCATGACAAAAGATATAACATTTGTGTCACTAGAGTTCCAGAAAGAAAAGAAAAAGAGGGAAAAAGAGTACTCAAGGGAATAAAGGGAATTGTGGCTAAAAACTTCCCAAATTTGGCAAAAGACATTAATCTGTAGATTTTAGAAGCTGCTCAAACTTCATACAGTATAAATTTAAAGCATTCCACACAAAGACACATCAACCTACTGAAATCTAAAAAAAAAATAATAATAATAATTTGAAAGTAGTGAGAGAGAAATGACACCTTACCTATATGGGGAAAACAATTAGAATGATAGCAGATTTCTCATCAGAAAACACGGAAACAGAAAGAAGTGGCATACTCTTAAGTACAGAAAGAAAAAGAACTGCCAACCTAGTCCAGTGAAAATATCCTTCAGAAATAAAGGGGAAATCAACATTCTCAGATAGAGGAAAACTAAGAGAATTTTTTACCCACAGGCCTTCCCTAAAGGAATGTCTAAAGTTCTCTAAACAGAAAGAAAAAAATAAAAGAAGAAATCTGGTAAAATCATGAAGGTAGAAAAACTTGGTAGGCAAAAATATAGGTAAATATAGTGCATTTTCTAAATTATATTTGATAGCGAAAGCAAAAAGTATAAAACACTGATGTGGTTTCAAATGTATATGAATAAATATTTAAGACAATTATACTGAAAATGGGGGGGGTAATGGGATATAAAAGAAGGGAAGTTTTTTATTCATCACTCAAAACTGGTAAAATGATACCACCAGTAGACTGTGATTAGCTATGTACATATAATTCCTAGAACAATTACTTAAAAAGTCATACAAAGAGATACACTAAAAAACACTATGGATAAGTAAAAATAGAATTCCGTAAAAAGTTCATGTAAGATACAGATAGGGAGGAAACCCAAAACAGAGAGAATAGAAAACAAACAATAAAATGGCAGACTTAAGCCATAACATATCAATAATTACATTAAATGTAAAT